TATTATGGGACTCCTCAGCAGTGCGCATCCACGAACCCACTCTCGCGAGCGAGATTCGAACCCAGGACCTACCAGTCTCGAGCCGAAGCCCTTAACCGATAGACCACTGAGCTGGCATCCAACGGTGTTAATGTCTAACTTCAACCAATCCACGATATTGAGCGACCGTTCACCAATTGTCTTCAGTGAGATGATATCTCTACAACAGACCTGGTAGAACTCCACTGGCCACTGCTTCCCACTAGAACTCAAGGAAATATCTCTTGAAGTCAGTCACTAGTGAGCATATGATTATAGATGAGAGGGGGTTTTGTGGAGAATTTAGTATTTTCACAGTTGAAATCATGAGTCAATTGAAGCTAGACCACCATCGAAAACCTGGAAGCACTGGACGGCCGTTTCGTCCTATTATGGGACTCCTCAGCAGTGCGCATCCACGAACCCACTCTCGCGAGCGACATTCGAACCCAGGACCTACCAGTCTCGAGCCGAAGCCCTTAACCGATAGACCACTGAGCTGGCATCCAACGGTGTTAATGTCTAACTTCAACCAATCCACGATATTGAGCGACCGTTCACCAATTGTCCTCAGTGAGATGATATCTCTACAACAGACCTGGTAGAACTCCACTGGCCACTGCTTCCCACTAGAACTCAAGGAAATATCTCTTGAAGTCAGTCACTAGTGAGCATATGATTATAGATCAGAGGGGGTTTTGTGGAGAATTTAGTATTTTCACAGTTGAAATCATGAGTCAATTGAAGCTAGACCACCATCGAAAACCTGGAAGCACTGGACGGCCGTTTCGTCCTATTATGGGACTCCTCAGCAGTGCGCATCCACGAACCCACTCTCGTGAGCGACATTCGAACCCAGGACCTACCAGTCTCGAGCCGAAGCCCTTAACCGATAGACCACTGAGCTGGCATCCAACGGTGTTAATGTCTAACTTCAACCAATCCACGATATTGAGCGACCGTTCACCAATTGTCTTCAGTGAGATGATATCTCTACAACAGACCTGGTAGAACTCCACTGGCCACTGCTTCCCACTAGAACTCAAGGAAATATCTCTTGAAGTCAGTCACTAGTGAGCATATGATTATAGATCAGAGGGGGTTTTGTGGAGAATTTAGTATTTTCACAGTTGAAATCATGAGTCAATTGGAGCTAGACCACCATCGAAAACCTGGAAGCACTGGACGGCCGTTTCGTCCTATTATGGGACTCCTCAGCAGTGCGCATCCACGAACCCGTTCTCGCGAGCGGCACTCGAACCCAGGACCTACCAGTCTCGAGCCGAAGCCCTTAACCGATAGACCACTGAGCTGGCATCCAACGGTGTTAATGTCTAACTTCAACCAATCCACGATATTGAGCGACCGTTCACCAATTGTCTTCAGTGAGATGATATCTCTACAACAGACCTGGTAGAATAGGGGACACGAGTATAGACTAGATAATATGTTATTCAACACAATTTCAAGCAGTCACTCTCAATTAGTTCGGAGTAGAAATCAATGAGAGGAAAAGCACATTTTTAATAGTCAGTAGGTTAAATGGCTCAATGACCAATTATACTTTACTTTCCCTACCCAAATAGTCTTATTTCGCTTTTAAACAACAAACATCTGATGGAAGTAATTTTTTATAGTTGATTGTTGAATGCTTATTTATGTTAGATAGATCATCTTATCTTCTTAATTGAACTGGACTAACGAAAGAGTAGAAATTCTAGATTAAACATGGTAAGCAGAGATGGATAGTGGCTAGCAGTGGAATCCAGGACGCGCGTTTCGTCCTATTTGAGACTCGTCAGCTGGATGTACCTGCATCTCAGAGTTGATGTTCACTGTGAGACAGTTTAATAGTTGAGATCATGAGTCATTTGAAGCTTCCAGGTTTTTCATGGTGGTCTAGCTTCAATTGACTCATGATCTCAGCTATTAAATTACTATAATATCCGCAAAACCCCTTATGATATTTAACAGTTTGTTAAAAAAAATCGAATAAGTCATGATGGATTTGTAATTACTAATCTAGCATGACTATCCTTCATTTGACAGCCAGTTTTGCAGCAAGCAAACAGTGATCAGAATGATATGTGTTGATGTAATATATTTATTTTGGTTATAATCTGTAGTAATAGCTGAGGATAATCTGTCACACCTGAGTATTGATTATATGGTGTTACCATTAAATCAAAGTATGTAATTTGGGAAGTCAATAATCGTGTTTAGTGAACTGATTAGTGTTCTCAGCTTGAATTTAATGGGTTCGAAAAATTTAATGGAACTACATTTATCCCAGAAAGATGTAGATCTAAACATTTGCAGTCAAGCATACAAATCACTCGTATTAAAAGTGTAGGAGAAGGATGATATGTTAGTTTTGGTCTAGTGATAAGAAATTTCCATCCGATTAATTATATATACACCTCACAAAGTGTTTGGAAACATTTATATTGTTTCATCCAAGTTTACTACTCTTCAATAATGCGTATCTACAATGCTTTACGGGATGAAACCTAGGACTTTATGGTCTCATAGCCGGGATAATAAAACTGAAACAAGTATCCATTAATTTAGATTTCCGACCTTATACAGTTTTTATGATATGGTAATCATCGTCTTTTGTTATTTCCGAATTATTGCTTTACTCCAAATAATTAAATGAGCGTAGATGTTTGAGGAAGGAAGGATTCAAGAAGGGTTGTTCTTCAGTCGTTTACGTTTACACTAACTGATAGAACAACCGTGCACATTTCAAATATCATTGACTTTAAATTCTTTACTGTTTCTCTTTTATGCTGTCATGAATGAAGTTCATGTTGCCATGCATGGAGCTCTTTAGGTTATTTATTGTCAAGTACCCCATTTACACTTTTATTTAATGTATCTCTTTTTCGTCAGTCATTGATTCTAAGGATTGTATTCCGTATTATATTTATGGCTCGTTTTATGGTTATGTTATATCGTTTGTAAAAGATCTAAACAGCAATGAACTCTAATCAACTGATCGTACACGAGCAGAGTGGGAAGAGCTATCGTCTTAGTTATAACATCGCTAGGTTAGTTTAGTTCAGCATGTTTAGTAATCATTGATACTACCATTATTCAGACTCCTTTGCTATCCATCATTTTAATTCCATCTCGCTGTGCTGCTGTGATTCAGCAACTCGAGCCGATGTACAATGATGTCAGTGTCCAAAGTTGGTTGTGACTGACTTTTTAAATAAAAAATATATGGTAACATAATCTTGAAATTAATATTAAGTATACAAATTACTCAACTACAGAACCTTTTATGAATGACCAATCACTAATAAATAATTCTCCTTATATTGGGACTATTCAGTGTTGATTTCATGATTATTAGACTACTGGTATTCTTTTAATCATAGTAAATTAACCATCATAGATTGACTAAATAGTTCGTGGGCATCAACATGTGTATATAAATTCTATACTTATCGTTAGATAATACATAGGGTTAACGATCACAATCAATCAAATGAATTTGAGAACAAAGTAAAAGCACAAATAAGGTGTATATTCATACAATCACGGCTACTATCAGGTTTTTTGAACTTTTCTTCCTTTCAGAAGAGTCTAAGAGAAAAAAAGATAGGAATTCCAGGGAATAACAGAACTAAACAAGAAATATACATAAACACACGGGGAAAACAACTAGTTACAACTAAAAGAAAACCAAATAGGTAAACAATAAATGGAAACTGTGAAATATGGGAGAAAAAGCCAACGTGATGACGACAAAAAAGGAAGAGGAAACTCATTGTTTAACTACTAGACTTTTTTACATGATTTCAAAAATGAGAATTTGTTGATTATATTTTAAAAATAACGAAAGTGTATTAAGACGCCAACAGTCCCTAATTCTACTACTATTATTACAACTACTACTGGTAATAATAATAGTCAAAGTGAGGTTAACTGATAGAAAGAATAGTATCGTGAAAAAAGTCAAACTGAAGAAATAATGTAACATGAGATTGATGCAAATCTCTAGAGATGTCCCACATGTGTGCGCATATAGGTGAACACGTCATAGCAGCTTAGAGAAGATAAAAAAAAGAAAAAAAACGTAAGTAACGAGAAGAGAGATATTTGTGTGATACTACTAATTTATTTCGCAAAAAAAAGAAAAATGATTGATTATTGAAAGAACGAAAACGTACTGTCCACAAACAATGAAACATACATATTGACATACACACAATGAGAGAAGACATTATTTATTTTGATTGAAGAAAAAAAAAGTAACATTAATGTAAACAACATATAAATAAATGTGTATATTATTATAATGTTAGCAGCCAGATGAAGTACAAGTAGAAAAGATAAACACATAATTAAATAGTCAATGATAAATAACTCTTATTTTTGTACATACAATGGGAAAGTGTATAAGTGATGTGCAACAAAAACAATATATGCCAAAAATATATTCATAAAAAAATTTAATGTTTTTGTCTCTCTCTCTCTCACTACTTTGTAGCCAAGTTAATTGTACATTCTGTTTAGACTGTGATTCGTATTCCTGATATTTCTCACTTCATTTCATCCTCTGAAGCCCACCATTATCGCTGTTCCCTTTGCTTTTGTTTTAATATGCATCACTGGCAAAGCAGATGAACACTTAAGACAATAGAAATACAAATGACGAAGAAAAAAGAATATTTTCCAAAGCAATAAGAATTACAGTATGTCATCAAGAGTCAAAAGAATAACTAAAATAGGTCATATTAAAAACAAAAACAGAAAAGAAAATTTCTACAACACACAGATCAATTTTAACAGCCAATTCATTGCTCAGTACACAGTTTAAACCTGTACACGAGTATTATATATATATATATATATAATATTAAGACTGATACTTGTGTTAACAACACAGATGATAACACTGTACGATAGTGGTGTACATATAAGATCAAGCAGGTATGAGAAAACAAAATGTCTTCTTTTTTGTTACAGTCTTAATCGCAACTGAAATAACAGTGATGTGAACAATAACGTTTAGCCAAATGTTCATGATTCGGAGAACTATGATGATGACTACATTTTGCTCTATTAGTTGATGTTTGACTACTGGACCCAACAGTGGCTTCTATAGAGCCATCAGCCGAACTAATTGAAGAAATGGACCCACCAGAAGCTGAAGCAGCAGTATGAATGGTACGATTACGGAGTCGTAATTCTTGTTGAACGGCCATGTGCATTTCACGAGAATCGAAATTTACAGCCTGACTATTTCTGAAGACAATGAAGAGAAAAGATAATAATTAGACAATTTAAATAATTCTGTTAGGATAATTTGAAAGAAATTATTTAAGCAAGAAGTTTCATTGCCAAACCATTAGACTTGACTTGAGATAATCGGAAAGCATTACACTAAATGAATGAATTTTCAGTCAGATGAATTATCAAACAAGGTGATTTTTAATCTCATATCCTTTAACACAGTGATGACGTTTGTAAAATATTACACGAAATGAGATTCAATGGAATAAATAAAGCAAAAATATGGGACTATCGAGTGGATAAAATAATCAAAAAGGAAAAATGGTTCATTATAGTAGCACAATAACGCATCAACGTCGCTCAACTGTAGAACATACAGTTTTGAGACAGAAAATGATGTGGAAGATTTAACGAGTGACATGTTAACATATTAAACAGTGAAGTAATCAGTGTATGTTCTAAACAATTTCTTGAAAAGAAATTTCGGTGAGACTTTGATTTATGGACGACCTTTGAATGACGGTAGATTAACCTTGAGAGTGTCCACCTAGTAACTAGGTCCAAATGAAGGCATGAGGAATTAGAATTATGATTTACAGTTGATGGTTAAGGTTAAAAATTAGATTCAGGGTTTTCATCACGAACTGATATCAGCTATAATTCCAAGACTTTATTTAGCAAAATGTTTGAGTGAATTTCGTGCCAAAATCCGAGACTTGTTATCTTAGACCTGATTAGTCTGGCCGAAATTCGTTACAGAGATACAAGAATAAATGTTTTGAAATTGACTAATCACTAAATAGTGATTGATGTTGTTTTTGTCTAGTTGAATTCTATCGACCAAGCTGCAATGAAGCTATCAGTCTAAATGGCTGGACATACTACATGATAGAAGAGTCACAGGCTATGACACTATCGCCCGTTATATAATAGTATTTTGCCTCGGATATATTTTCCATTTCAATGGCGGTGTACTAGAGAATGCTTATGTTTACTTTTATTCAGATAACAGTTAGGTAACGATTTGTGTTGAAAGATCCATGCTGCTTTCAGCTACTTGTTGCATAGAACAAGACTGAAATGACTCGGTGAAATGAAAGCTACACTGTCAGATGTAGGATTTATTTATATGGAACACTGACTACACCACATATTTACAAATGATAGGAACGCGCAGTTATATACTGCTTTAAATGTTCGATCAATATGATATGAATGCATTGAACTATCAGTGAATCAATGAGTTAATGCAATATGTGTATAAAATTAATAAAATCAGTGGGTAAAAAGTTTTTAACTAACACATATATTTAAGTTACTGAGCTATATGTTTTCCCGATCCCTGTCCCCCTTATGTTTGAATACTTTTGAGTAAAGTTTCCTGTACGTGGGTGAACTTGAAAATTAATTACTCTTCTACATTCTTTCCCTTTTCGCACAAGTTATGGTCCTAGATCATGTTGGCTTGAATCCTTAACTCACTTAAATATCACATTGGTAAACTAACGGAAAACTCGTCTGCGTTAAATTCTAATTAGAAAATAGATATTGATCTTCTGATCAAATTGATGTTTGTATTTTACTTTTAGATACTGCACATTTGCGTTTTTTATATGAAAAGTTAATTTTAGACCTACAGACACGATTAAAAACCATGTACGTATTATTCTTTTTGAATATATATTATGACAATTTTTTTGGTATCCCAATTAAGGTATAAAAACTTTCTTAGCCGTTCACATTTTTGTTACCTTTCACTAGTTTAATACGAGGCTTTAAGTTGGTAGTATGATTAAATTTTTCTGGTATATCATGAAGAAATGATAATTATTGCTTCATTCCTACCAAACCACATAGACAAAATTCATGATTGGTAAATGATTGTATGGTGAACAGAATTATGTTGCAGTTGAACTGAAATCGACCTACTGAAATAAAGTGTGTGTTTGGATGTATTATTCATTTTTTCTGGATAAGTTTGATATTTACCTGTAAATTCACTGGACAACTACAACATGTACAGAAAACAAGCGATTATCGGGCTAATATTTTTTGAAAAAAACACTGATTGTTTATTAAATTTAAATCAATGGGAATTTTTGGTAAGATTAAATTAGAAAATTTGATATTCTTGCTTAACATTAACTTTCTGAGGTAAGTTGGAACACTCAAAACACCATGAAGTTCAACCAACCTAATCTGAAATAAATTTTCCTTTAATGTTTCAACTAAATTACTGAGTTGCTCCTTAATATAAAACTTATTTAATGCTAATCTATTGATCAATTAAAAGTTATTCACTTCTTTATTGTTTTCTATAATCATCATTGGTTCATTCATATTGGACTGACCTTTTCTCATTAATGTTAATCTAACGAAATATCAGAAACTAGTAGGTCTACTTATAAGAGTTGTATAATAAATATTTTTAAAAAAACAACAACAAGACCTAGTATTCTTTCTAGTCAAATAACATTGAGGTGAAATATTTTAAAGATTAACTAATTCTAATCTTTTCATAGTTTTTATTTTCCTCATCATTTTTCGGATCAACGAAAGATATAGAGATTCAAAAGAAAAACAATACTGACTAAATGAATAGAATCAACAAAAGTGAACGGTTTCTTATTTTACAATGAAAACTTATTTCTTAATAATGTTTTAGACCATAAATCCCGTATAATAACAATAATAATAACACTAATTAGTGGCTAATTTCAAGAAAACATTTTGAAGTTCTAGTACAAAGTCATGAACAGTGAGAATCGACCATGTCAGTGATGAGACAAGATTACAAACTGACTGAAGCTAGAAATATAAACCACTTGATTTTGAATTGCTGGTCTAAAGGATAAGAGCAAGTAGCAAGGCAAGAACATCATGGGTCTGATAAGTGGAGGAGTTGTGGGTGCGCAATAATGAATGAGCCCAATTCTAGAACAGAAAATAAGCTTATTCCTCCTCGGTTTTCAGTAGTTTGTTAGATGACTATGGTCCATTTTGTAAAATAAAGTATAATGGATTTCCACAAACCTATTATGAAGCTTATAAATCAAGTGTGAGTCCATGTATATTTGTTTCTGGGTTATGGTTGAAAAAATAACTTTTGTATCTTACATTTAATCATGAACGAAATATACTTTGTTGTAACAAAGTAAATATTGAAGTTGAAACTTCTGGAAATATTAATATATATTTCGTCATTCCTAAATTAGTATTCCTACTTTGTTCTATACAATTGGTTACCTCTACGACTTTGAGTAAAGTAAAAAACACAACAACAACTGAGACAGGATAATATGAATTCATTATATTTCGTGGTTTCTCATCAACCACTTACGATCATTAATATGTAATAATACGTAACATTGTGATTTGATATATTGTGAAATAATTAGCACTGATAATGGAGAAATTTAAAATAACAAGGTTTATCAATAGTGATTATATTATATATCCTTTAAAATTATTACCAAACAAAATCACGTCATCTCTACGGTTTACCGAAGCAGCAGTAATGCAGATACTCAAACATGATTTATGTGTCTAGAAAAAGACAGTAATCAACTAATCACTACCATGGTAAATTTTACTTTACTTCACTTCAAACTTATGCAAACTTTCGAAATCCTGTTCAATTGTTATGTAACCTGTCTTATCATTTTCTAGTTCTAGACAATTTCCAACTCATAAATGTCTTACATATCTGTTTTCAAGTGATTCAAATTTCATGCACATTCTTAAAAACTTTTATAATTATCACACTATCTGCCTTCTTTGTTTCCGGACTTCATTTAATTAATTCATATTATTGTAGTTTTGATCTTTGTTCTTTATCACTTTTTATTTGGCTATGCGTAAACGATTGGTAATACCTAAAGTTGTTAGTCTATGTCTATAGGAGAAAAATATACTCGGATAAGTGTAATCTTACCTATTGACTCAAATAACGAACATATAAAATATATTCAAGGATATAAACATTGTTTCAAATTGTAAACAACAACATTTTATTTCCTAGATTTATAATCATGACCATAATCGCTTTATCCCATGTCATATATTTTGAATGCAGTAAAGAAATCTCACGTTGGTTGTAGGCGATAAGCAGTTTATCCCGGACATAAATTTCGATCAGGATGAAACTTATTAGAAAGAAACTTTGGGGATTGATATTTTCATCGGAACTTCAACCTCCTGTAAAAGTGAGATATCGTTTTGTTGTGCGGTCGCTCCAGTTTGACGTCGATACACAAGCTTTATATCAGTGTACCCGAAACAAACAATTGATTGAGGGAAATAACAGATTTTATTGACTAACTGAATCATAAATATATGTACAACCAATGGATAAAGATATATCTTTCTCCTTCAGAAAATATACAGCCATACCAATGGAATATGTTTTAGAAAATGAAGCTAAATCCTGAGCAATAAAGCGGGTCAATAAACAGCCCTCATTTATCACTTGGTTTATGTCTGATTGGCATGACGCAATAGAAATTTACACTGGTCAGTAACTGAATAATGACCAAATTAAATGATTCAAACAGATAATACTATATCAAGGCACTCAGATTTGTGAACATATTGATAAAATTCGATCAAAACAGTGGGCTAGACAAATACGACAATGATTACTATTAGTTCAATGTGTTAAGAATTTCTAGCAAAAAGCCATAACGAAACAAACCCTGGTGTATCAAATTTTTCATCAAATATATACCTGATGCATGAATTCTAATGTGATTAACCAACTAATGCAGGAGTTCAGAAAGAATTTCGCTTTGCGACGGCTTGTAACCCTCCTACGAAAGCGCATGGGTACATCTTATGACCAACATATGTAACTAATTAGTTAAAATACATCGGCAGTAAGGAAAAATCGATTGTAACGTTTGCACAGTTGGTAAATAGGATGCCAAGAGGTTTGAACAGGCTCTCACTCAGCCAATGTATCTCAAGAACATAAAAAACCTATAGGTAAAATGAGCTACTCCAATGTTTACAAACTGATATATATATATATATATATATATATATATATATATATATAATAGGAGCCGCCGTGCCGTATTCTTTTATTTAGACTTAAGACTGAAGAAGGAGCTTTTCAGCGGGTCACTAGGCGTTAAGATTATTTGGATTAATCTTGGCAGTTGAAGCGTATAGCTGGTCGAAGCTTAGGACCCTAATCGATAAACGGAATAGTATATACGGTCTAGACAGATATAATTTGGATTCTGGTCGGCAAATGTCTTCATAGATATCACATAATTTAAAGTCTTAACAAAAAAAGAACACGATTACTATTAATTGAGCTAGTTTGAGTGAAGATTTCCTGTAATACGAAGCTAAAATCAGTTGGGCAAAACAGTTATTCTGTGATTCCAGTCTTACAACGGTCATTCAGCTGATTTTACTCCGTGAATGGCATATGATAAGGCAAATAATTGAAAACAATGAGTTATAGATTAAAAGAACTAAAAAAGCTCATAAAATGTCTTAGTTTTAAACGATTCATATTATAAAGAATATGAGAAGTGGTTTTACGGTTAAAATACAAGACTTCGAAGTATTTACTTACAGTGTTTACGACCATCCTATCTAATTAGCTTTCGGTAACTAAACTGTACTGTTTCCTCTACAATGTATGCTTCTGCAATGAATACACAATTCTTTAACTAATAATGGAGTCAAACTGAATTATGAAGATAATGAAGTGGAAAATTTATAGCTAGAGAAAAGTGTATCCAACATTTCTACACTGACCTAATAATTCAATATCCCTAACACAGATTTCTCAACGTAAAAAAGCTAAAAATAATCAATTCAATGGACATAATTGTGAGAACGACTCCCGGTGAACTCTAGAAAACTCTGAAAGAGCTGAAGACATTTCATCCAATCATCGTTTGAAACGACATTCCAAAATCTCGACATGTAGCTATCCGATTGAACAAATGATAATAACCACTGCATGCTAATTGAATGTTTGTAATAATGATTTTGTTTTTACTAAAAACTATAAATATATGAGTGTTTTCAAATGGTTAGGATAAGATTTCTTCCCACTAGTCTTCTGTCTTCTAGATTGTGACTTGAATGGTTCAACAGTCCGAGTGTACGAAATTGTACGCGGTATAGCAAAACTTAAAGTCCTACATACTACAATAATATTCACTAACAAAGCAATTGAAAGTACACAGATTATGACAAGTCTGATAAACTTGGCTAATAATAAAGGAGACGCTTATACAATTTGGCAGTAAGTAAGTTAGTATAATATAATATTACGACAAAAAGGAATTTCAGTAAAACAGCCATAAATAAGTTAAAATGATTGTGATAATACAAATAATTATAAGTGACCAACCACCTTCGCTTAAATGTAGCTTCACTAAGAATGATAACTAGCAATACCATTGTAACATCCTCGTATGAGTAATTCCACCAAAGCACACCGTAGATAGATGCCCCGAAATTCCCTGGTACTGTCGAGAGTGGGGAAAGTCCGCTCTCCCTCTCGAAATGCTCTCACATGGCCACGCGAATATATAGCCTCTGTCAGGGAAGTCCTACTCACTGCCTTCTTGCAGCATTATTGTTGTTTACGGAATTGAGAGGACGAAAAGCGAATGTCCGGCGCTTTAACCGGGTCGATGGACACGGAAAGTCCACCTATGGGAGTTTGAAAACCCTGATTCCAAACCAATGGTGCACATGGGCTCCAGTATCCTGAGGGGACAAATGGTGTACGAATCAATCGTTGGTCACCGGCTACCATGGGACTGCATCTCCTCACGATGCTCCGCTGCCTTGTGGATCAGACCTTTAGGTTAAAGGCTCTGGGTGTGGTCCCCTAAGAAAACCACCTGCTTCAGTTTGGGCATCTGGGCAGTATCACAGCCCTCACACAAATCGAATGAGATTTGTGTAGCGCATATGTATTCGGTGCCCCTTTGTACCAACATCTATGTGTTCAAATAAATAAATAAAAAACACCGTAGATGGAATATTCTGATATTACATCTATCTAAAAATATTTATGACCACAATATGAAGGTGAAAAAAGTTTTAGTCATTAAACTGCATCTTTAAATTATTATTATCGTGCAAAATTACCGTTCCATGATTTCACGTAATAAAGAATCCACTTCGGGATTATGGGTCATTCTTACGGGAGGTAGGACAACTCTACGGTTATAACGTCGGGTAGGAATAGTTGTTGTTGTTGTTGTTGTTGTTAATGATGTCGTGGTTACATTGGTATTTGCAATAGGTGAAGCTGATTCGTTTATATTTACAATCGAATTATTTTGTCCCGATGTAACATAAGACGTTTGTTGAGTATTATTAGAGTGCTGAAAATTTCCAGAATTACCATTTGTAAATATAGATGCACCCTTTTCACCTTCATTACTATTTATATTGACCTGGCCAGTTTGTGGTAGTTGAGGGTACCTGAATTCATTAGCGCGTCGAGATTGGTGATGATAATAGGATCGGTGAGTGGAACAATTGTAATCCATAGAACATTTATTTATTTCATCCGTTTTATTATCATGACATGTACAATTTGAACAATTCTGTTGCTTTTTATTGTGGTATGTATTAGCTAAAGGTGTGGATTTGTATGCACATTCATGCATGTGTTATGGATATGAAAGACAAAAAAACAAAAACAAATGAAGTGATGCAGAAAACAAATTTACAATATAAAATGAGTATTCTCTGTAGTAAAAAGTCGCATATATAACTACAGTTGTTATCTGATGGAGTTAGGGTGTGCGGAATGGTTAGGATACTACGTTGTACAACAAAAGTGGTACCGAATGAAATGAACAGTTAGATGGATCGATAAATGTTGCAAATGGTATGTGAACAAGCTTAATTGGAATTTCACATCATGTTGCAACCTTCGAACAGACGTGGATTTGAATGTAACACTAAGTAATGATGAAAAGAATATTGTTTCAATAACCTCAGAAGAACTCAATGACAGATACAACCGCACAGACGAAGATGCCCACAACGAGAGAATGTGTGACATATGAAATCTTGCTAGGCCGCCAAGTGAAACTGCTGATGAGAGAGCTTGGATTTTCATCACTGCAATGCAATGTTTCATTCGTTTTGTTGTCAGAACCCGCAACCATAATTTCACGGAGTCCATTGTCCTATGTGTGGTGCGATAACCGAAGTATAATCATGTCACTCTTCAGGATAAGCGCAAATGTGAAGAGACAGAGTGAAGACTTATTTTAAGGCCACGCACAATTCGATTTGAATTTTGCTTTTTCAGTTTGTTACAAATTACATTGATAAATTTCTGTTAATCGCATTGCATATACGTGCTCTGTATTTTGAAAGACAGTCCCGACGTCATTGCGTTTAACGTTAATTATGACTGAACTAGAATAACAGTTTCATCCGATGCGTTTCGTATTACTTCGGTTAGAAATTCACTAGGCTGTGTTCTTCACGTGAGATAGCATAAAAAGACGTTTAACCCTACAATTACCAAACCTTTATTATCTGTGCTAAGGCTAATTCGTACTAGTATTCATTGATAAGCAATATCTATTATCTCAGTATATGTCATTATTTTAACTGTGAATTGAATGAAATAATGATTGTACTCTATCTGTGCCTGTGAACTTCTTTCCTACGTAATACAATTCAGTCAATGCTGATGAAAATATTATGTATTAACTTAAACTTGATACGAATAAGTTTCAGCTATCATTAACGTTGCATTATTTTTCTATAAGTTGAAAAGTATGTACTGAAACCAGCTCACCGTTACAACAAAATTATTTCTATGGGGAAGGTCAATCAGACTAACAATGGTTATAGCTCACATGTTAGTAATACTTCTTTATCGTTTATCAAATTTCTATACCGTTTAATGAACACTCGTAATGGTACATAAAAACTTCAATAAAAATGTTTCAATATATTTCAGATTGTTCAGCTGGATAAAGATAATATTTTATTTATTATATCGAAATTCAATATGTTACTAATATGTCGAATAAGATACTTTCAAATCAACTAGATGGCGTACAGTTAACAGTAATGATTTTTTTTCCAAATTTAATTCTTCATATTTCAAATAGTAATCACATTCGTGTTGTCATTTACGAATTAAATTCAAACATTGAGGTAGTGATTTGGTCTTGTTGTACACTTGCAAAACATTTGCTATTGACATCGCGTAAAAAAACAATTACCATGCACCTCCCAAGCACAATAACTGATTAACATTATTGTATACACAGAGAGATTTTTTTATCATAATTATATACTGCTCAACTATATAGAACGGAAAATGTATAGTTGGAAACAATTTTTGTTGTTGTTTATGGATTCGTCAAATTACACAAAACCTCAGGCAGAGTGAGGGCATACAACCACCTTTCTCCCTTGTTCCATTCGAGCAGTGGGGTTAGGCAGGGTTGCCCGATCTCACCATTCCTCTTCAACTTTGCCATCGACGACATCCTAGAAACAGCTCTGATGGATGTAAGTAATGGCGGTGTGGATATGTTGCCTGGAGAACGACTTCTCGACCTTGAGTATGCGGATGATATTGTCTTACTGTGCGATAATGCCCAAGGCATGCAATCAGCACTTAATCAGTTGGCAATCAGTGTCCGCAGGTACGGCATGTGCTTTGCACCCTCCAAGTGCAAAGTACTTCTACAAGACTGGCACGATTCCAATCCTGTACTCACCCTGGATGGTGAGCAGATCGAAGTAGTTGAGAAGTTCGTGTATCTAGGTAGCTATATAAGTGCTGGTGGTGGCGTGAGTGATGAGATTGATGCACGTATAAGGAAAGTCGGAGCGGCTTATGCCAATCTGGGTCATCTTTGGCGCCTTCGTGATGTTAGTCTGGCTGTAAAAGGTCGGATCTACAACGCGTCGGTGAGAGCAGTTTTGCTCTATGCTTGTGAAACCTGGCCTCTCCGAGTTGAGGATGTTAGACGTCTCTCTGTGTTCGATCATCGTTGTCTCCGAAGGATTGCTGACATCCAGTGGCAACACCATGTTAGTAATGCAGAGGTTCGGCATCGTGTGTTCGGGCGTCGAGACGATAATTCAATTGGTGTCACCATCTTGAAACACCGACTTCGGTGGCTTGGACATGTTTTACGAATGTCGTCCCAGAGACTTCCACGTCGTGCATTATTTGCCGACTCTGGGACTGGTTGGAAAAAGCGGAGAGGAGGTCAGTGTATGACATGGTGTCGTGGCATGAAAGAGAGCTGCAAAGGGCTAGCTTCCGTTGGTCCTTCACGACTCCCTGGTTGGGGTCCGAGAGATAGTGCAACACAGTGGCTAGAGACGTTATCAGATATGGCTCAGAATAGAAGCCAGTGGCGATCCTGCTGCAACCTTCTTTTACTTTCTACATAAAGAATGGTTCTTACTTTCCTAACTGAAAGAGTCTTCTGGTTGTACATTTTAGTCCGCCTTATCTTTTCATCCATTCTCTTCCTACTTTCATTATTTTGTGTGGCGCATATGTACCTGGTGCCCTTTTGTACCAATATATATGTGTTTAAATAATTAAATAATTACACAACTACTAGCTTAACTGTAGACTACTTTACTGAAGAACACAATATTGCGTTTATCATCGATACCCTTCTTAAGGCGAAATGAAACAACTCTTTCGTATTAAGAATTACAGTCTGAAAAATCATCCTAGCATATATATTATTTGCTTCTACCTCTGAAATTATTATTAATTTAATAAAGCGTACACGATTATTCATTCTCTGATCCTTGACATTTAGCGTGATTGATAAATACCCTATTCGTTCACATATCACGTCGATTTATTCATATGTTCATATACATATATAACGAATATTACAAAAATCAGACTGTGTTAAAATAATTCATGGAAATAGTAAAATAAAAATCAGTCTATTACATTTGCATTAAACATTTTATTAGCTTTCAAATTCAGTAATCACTATTTTCAGTAATTAAAAAACAGTTATCAGTTTTTCTCAGTTTATTTTTAATGACAAGTATAGTCTTTCCCTTGTCATTATACCTAACGACTTTAGTTCCATTTCTGTGATCGAAAAGAAAAATCAAATAAACTTTTTATCTCAATATGCATTCACAGACAGGGCAGTCGAATAGAGATAATGTCTACACTTTTATCAGAAGTTAGAATTTTATACTATATGACGATAGAATCGTTAAACAGAATTTTCGCAATAAAATAAAATTCAAACGTAAAAATGCTCGTTTTCAAATAAAATCAAACAACTTTATGCTACCTGGGGGGAAAGGTCAGGAATCACAATCAGCGTGCAATAATTATCAACCCAAACTAATACAAGCGCATATTAATAAAGAAGAGTATTGCAAGGGGGAATAAGTTAATCAGTCGGCTACAACGTAGGACCAGGCACATATATGTATAAGTCCAAGTTGTCACACCTTATCATTAGTACAACAAGATGAACACCAAATTCATAGAAGCAGTTACTTCAATGGTGGTAATATACAAAAAAAGATTGTGTATAAGGATATAGTACAGGAAGAAATAATTAGTTGGTAGTGAAAAAGACATGAAGCAAATTTAATCTCATAGTTTAAGGGAAGACAGAAAGTGTATACACCTACGCCATTGTGATCGATTCTGACCCATGTCATTAAACAGGACCATGTCATCTGCGTATTCCAAGTTGATAAGTGGACCTCCAGGTAGGAGATCGATTCCTGAAAATTCAGTCGACGAGAGTGCTATTGTGGCGTGGTCTACTTATATCCACACAAGTAGTATATGGTGATGGTCGAGCATAGAATGTATTTTGGCAGAAGATCGATAAGGAACGAACAGGAATGAAGCGCAATCGGTACGAAAATGCATTAACAATGAAATCAGAGAAGATGGACTGATAGGTGCAGAACCAACAGTTAAGATTAAGACAATTGATTGTTATTTTGCAAATTAACTGTTCACTGTATGGTTATCAGAATTTAGTGAGATAGTCTGTACTTTTGTGCTTAAATACATTCGACTGTCCACAACCAGTGTTCTGTTCACTACATTATTTCTAGCACTAGGTCCATAATGAAGTTAAACAAAAATGGAGATAGTGGACAGCCTTGTCGGACACCACTTGAGGTTGTAAAGTCAGAGGACAGTTCGCCATAGGCTCTCACGCGACTGGTAGTGTTCGAGTAGAGAGCCTTCACAAGGTTTATGTACTTCTGAGGTACACCTTTCAATGACAGACACTGCCACAGAAACTCTCGGTCTACAGAGTCAAATGCTGATTTCACGTCAAGAACAACTATCGCTGTCGGACGCCAATAAACATGTTTGTGCTCTAAAACCTGATGAATAGTGAATATGTGGTCGATGTAGCCACGACCAGGTCTGAAGCCAGCCTGATTTTCTTGTGTTTGCAGTTCACGAGTCTTAATCAGGGCGCCCGAGAATCATTGAGGCTAGTACTTTAGATGCTATATCAGTCAAACTAATCTCTCTATGGTTATAACAGGATGACTTAGACCCCTTCTTATATATTGTGACAATCAGAGATTGTGACCAGTTGACTATACTGTTCTCTGAAGTGTTCC